GAAAGATTTGCAACCTTGTTGCTGACACAGTCTGACCCCGGAGGTGCCGGCTATTGATGACCCCTGAGCCTGCATTGCCTGTAACCTGTGACCCGTGCCTTAATTCCTACTTTCCCACGGAATCTTTGTCCTTCTAGCCGGTATAAGCAGCTGCCTTATGGGGGTGGGGGTTGGGTAAGAGCAGGTTTTTGTGGATGACCTGCGGTCCTCCCATGCTGCCGGAATAAACGTTCATCTAAGATTCAATCTTGTCTCTGCTTAATTGTCTCGAGTAGTGACAGGCGGCCGGATGGATTGGTTTTTGGGTTTCAGACTCACCGGGTGTGCATGTGGGAGGGGTCAGTCGCTGCAGGCGGACCTGGGCTGAGTTCCACTCTGGAGGGTGGAACAGGATGGGAGGGAGGAGATGCTGGCTGTGCAGGAGGCGGGGACTGAGAACCTGTCCTGTCCTGGGGTGCTCTCTACAAAGAAAGGGGAGACAAGGATCGGTCGTGGTGACGGAGTTCCTGGCCCTCTAACTGGTGCTAAACACGCTCTACGAATTCATCTCATCTAATCCTCAAAATAACCCTGAAAATGCAGGGGCAAGCATTGCCCCACTTTGCAGATGTGTAAACTGAGGCTCAGAGAGGAGAAAGGTGAAGGAGCTTGCCCGAGTCACACCAGGATACAGGCAGAGATGAGGAAGAGAGATGGAACGAAGGGGACTGGAAGGGAAAGAAGGTGAGATGGCTCCCCCAGGAGGGGGGTCAGTGGCAATCCTGAACGGGCCACTAGCCCAACTACCCTTCCAAAACTTTATTGCAACCTCCCTGGCTTTTTGCATCTGTGCTGGGACGGGGAGCTCCCTCCTCCTGCAGAGGCCCGATCCATCTGCGGACAAGCCTGCCTGCTGGGAAGGTCTTCCATGCACCTCCAGCTTCCACGCCCAGACCACTGCCTCCCAGGCCAGGGGTGTGGGGGTGTGGGGGTGTGGGGTGTGGGGGTGAGGCAGCATCCTGAGCACAACCGTTGCCGTCAGACACCCTGGCTCCCAGTCCTGCTCGCCAACGGACTGGCCAAATGCCTTTATTTCCCGGAGCCTCAGTTTGGCCATCTGTGCAGAGGGGGTGAGAGTCTGATGACCTCAAGCTGGGGCTGATGCAGCTGTGCTGGAAGCCCGCGAGCTGACCTTATATTTGTGTCCCGTTCCGGAAGGCTCACCTCACCGTGAGATACAAGCTGCCTCCTTTCTCGGACCCACCCAGCCTCTCCGGGGAACAGATTTCCCCAGGGCCTGGGTCGTGAGGCCTGGACCCCATCCGGGCTGGGAGGATTTTCTCATCTTTTGAGGTGGGCCCAGGTCAGAGCTTCTGGGCTTGGATGGAGGAAGCAGGAGGTAGGAGAAGGTTCGGGCAGCGCTGGAACTCCACAGCGCCCTCTGCTGGTGCAGGGCTGTGTAAGCGCCCTCCCAGGCCGACCTGGCTGCTATGCTGCTTGGGGACCTTGCAGAAGCTAAGGCTCTGCACCCCTGGAGTAGAAAGGAGACCTGGGGTCTGCTGGGGTCCTGGCCGGGCTGGGGTCCACCCTCGGGCTGCACGATGTGATGGTGAAGGTTTCTGTTTGGGGAAGGAGCTGTTCAGAGCTGCCAGTGTATCCTGATATTGCCTTGAAAAGACATACACACGAATGGTGTGCACCGGGCCTCTAGTATAAAATAATATTGAATGTCAACTGTAAATGAAAAATAAAATTTTAAAAGAGAGATAAGAACTTGGCCCGCAACCCCAGTAGGTGGCGTGCAGGAGGCAGCCGATCAATAATTCTCTCTCATCACTGATGTTTCTCTTTCTCTATCCCTCTCCCTCCTACTTTCTAAAATCCATTAAAAATATTTTTTTTAAGAAAGAAAGAGAGAAACCCTCGCAGCACTCCCTTGAGACCAGCCATTCAGGGGCCAGGCCTCTGCTCCGGCAGTCCCTTCCTCCCGCCATGCCCCCCCTCCCTCCTTCCTGCTGTGTCTCCCTCCTCATCAAGACTCTAGGTAGGGTCTTGCGTCCCCAGCAGTCAGATCCTAAGTCCTGGAGGGAACGGGCCACATTTCCCTGCCAAAGCCTGGGCCTGACACGACACCAGAGGGACCAGGGAGCCACCTGCTGAGCCAACCACCGGCTCCGGTCTCTGTGGCACATCCCGGCACCCCGGAGGCTCAGGCAGAGCCTCTCCTTGGAATAGGAGGCCGGGACGGTAGTGAGGATGGTTTCCTGGGTGCTGCCCGAAGCACAAAGCCACCCTCTTCTCTCCTCTCATGGTGAGTGGGAAGCAATGGTCCCAAGGGGCCCCGGGGTCAGGTCTAGACATGGATCCTCTGGAAACCTGGGAAGTTCCCCAGCACCTGTGGCTGTGGGGTCACGAGACACTTTCTCTTCTGGATTCTATTGACCCACATCCCCAACACCCTGCTCCTGGTGGGTTGAAAGCTGTGTCCACCAGGACTTTCCCAGTTGCTCACTTCCTCCCCTCCAAAGCCAAGCCAGCACAGACGTCATCCGCCATCCGGGCCAGGTGGGTTTATCCGCATCTTGACATCCGGGAGACCCATCACGCTAGCTCGGCGCTACCCAAGTGTGGGCCCTCGACCAGCAGCATCGGCCCCTCCTCGAAGGGTTGGGCCAGGAATCTGCTGACACTCTGCCTGATTCTGACGCATGCCCCGGTTTGAGACTCCAGCTCTAGGTAACGTCCAAATCGCTTCCTGGTTTTGAGTTATGAGTTGTAGATGCTCCTTCCCTGACCACCCCACCCATTTTTCTTCCTGGCTCCGGGCACAGTCAAGGTCATGGTTATGTAGTCCTTTGTGTGGCTAGTGATTGTCCACCTCTGCCCATTAGACGCTAAGCTTTATGAAGTCAGGGACCAGAGAGTCCTGGCCCAGAGTAAAAACTCAGCAGATATTTTTCGGTGGGGAAATATATATATATATATATATAAAGTGCTGGAGGTGTAGCCCTGGCCGGTTTGGCTCAGTGGATAGAGCATCGGCCTGCAGACTGAAGGGTCCCGGGTTCGATTGTGGTCAAGGGCACGTACCTGGGCTACAGGCTCGATCCCCGGCCCTGGTCAGAGCATGTGCAGGAGGCAACCAATGGATGTGTCTCTCTCATCATTGATGTTTCTATCTCTCTCTCTCTCCCTTCTTCTCTAAAATTAATTTTTTTTAAAGTGCTGAAGGCGTAGAAACTATTGACTCTTATAAATGTGGCACATGACCTTGACCAAGTGTCCTTCTGGTTTGCAGCCTCTGGGGCTCCCTCTCTGCAGTGAAGGGGTGGGCCCAGCGGACCCCTGAGGTTCACTCCCACCCTCTGCCATTTCAGTAGGGGCTCAATTTAATGCCCGCCCCCAATCCAGCCATCCCACACCAGCACCAACGATGGCATCTCCTCCCACCCCACCCCAGAGCCTTCTGTAACTGCTACTGCCTCCTTCTGGCCTTTGAATGTCTCTGACACAGTTTCAACCTACCTCCTGGCCTGATCTGCAGCAACTTCACCCCAACAGCCCGTCTGCTCGGCCTCCCTGGGTTCCGCTGCTCAGCTCCTAAGCGTTCTTCCCTGGCCCAGGACACCTCCCCGGCTCTCCTGCCCCTGGAGGCCCAGGTACCACTGCCTGCAGGCAGCGTCCTACACACAGCCGTCTTGGCGAACAGGCTCCTAAATGTGTTTACGTCCACGGCCAGGCTCAAAGCAAGAAGGGAGGGCCTCAGAAGCCAGGAACAAGGCGGTTCTGGAAGCCAGGGGAGGGGGGCCATGCAGGACATGGGAGGGGGTCACAGGTGTTTCTTAGGTCCTCCGAACTGTTCGGATTCCTAGATAACGAAAAGGAAGCCAATGAAAGAATCCAAAAACTTCAGAGCATTTTAAAAGGCTAAACGCAATGTGCTATCCTGGATCCTGGGGCCAAAAAAAATAAAATTAAAAAAAAAAATAAGTCAGTGGGAAACTGGTGAAATTTAAATCAAGTTTGGAGTCTGGTTAACAGCGCAGGAGTGTAATCTCTTAGTTATGACAAGTGAACCGTGGTTCTGAGAGACGGCGGGTTTTTTCTTTACACTTTCCTCTATTCTCCTTGCATTACGCTTGTCTTTGGTTTTCACTATTAAGAAATATTGAGTCCGCATGTCTCGGTCATGGTGTGGCCTCCCGCGGTCTCCTCTGCAAATGGGCTCCCTGGCCCAGCGCTCCCCCCACCCCACCCGCCTCGTTCCGCCACCATGATCTCACGCCAAGGTCCGCGAGGGGTCCCCGCCGAGGTTCCCACCAGCCCACAGAGAGAGCGTGGCAGCACCCCCTCCAGCAGCTCACGCGTGGCCACCACGACTACTACCGGTGCCGCCTGGGCTCCACTTCCAGTACCAGCTCCCGTGGAAGTGCCGAGTACCCTGGGGTGGCCATCCCCCACCACCCGGGTCTCCCCAAAGCCGACCCGGGTCACTGGTGGGCAAGCT